CAGATCTAAGCTATCAAATAGAACTGCAAGTAGTTAATGAGGACGATCGAACATTTGTTAGAAGAAAATCGGTTGCTGCACTCTCCTCCATGTAATATACAAGTTTTTCAACAATGTGACCGCTGTTTTTTCAGTGATTTCTTCTTTCCGATTTTTTTCCTGGGCTCTATTTTATATCAAATTTTCATTAATAAGCGGATCTTCCCCTACGGCGATACGGTAAGATTAACGTAGATCCCTAGCGCTTTCGTCATCCACTTACCGTAACTCCGGGCTCTCGGTATCAGTTGGTGTAATAATGCACAAATTTACATTGTCACGATGTCATGGAAAGAGGTACAGGCTTGTAAGGGGAAAATTTCAGCTAAACTGGAATAAAAGGTTTTAAGAATTAAACATTCACATCCTGAGATAGAGAACTAAGCTGACTTCTTTATTATGTATGTCACACACATATAGAAAGTCCAATATTTAAAACTGCCCTCGTTTTCTGTAAAAGTCGCTGGCTTCTTTTTCGCAACGAAGACCTGCTCACCATTGTGCTAATTTCATAACTGCCAAGCTTTGAAGACGTCACTTACTTCTACTAAGTTGCATAATTTCGACACATTAAAAAATGCGCCAATGAGGTGCATTAGTTGGGTAGAATGTAGCATTCCAACACAATTATGGTCTATTGAGGGACGGCACCACAAATGGAAAAAATTTAGTGCATAATACATCATTATTGCATAACAAAAATCGCAAGTGCATTATTTCCTTCTCCATCACAATCCTTCCTTTTTTCCTGAATAATAACCATTAAAATTACGTTAAATCATGTCTTATCAACTGTAGTTTACGATGTTTTGAACTTTCAACATTGGGTATATTGAAGGCTGTTTGAAGAAAGTATCCAACCAAACTTTTGTTGAGCCTTTATATATTTGATAAACCCTAATTGTATGAAAATAGTGATAAAAAGAGAGGTTTTACTCTGTTTGGACTATTTGCGCAAGCTGCACCACGTTTCTGCTTCTCTCACCCACAATTTCTATTAAATATTGCAGAATTGCTGATGAAAGACCGATCACGCTTAGAATTAATTGCTGATGGATGTGTTCGGCTAAGGACAGACCTGTTTAGTTGATATTGCTCCTTTCATTTAGAAGACTTCTTTGAAACATTTAATAGGGTTACAAGTAAAATATATACACAAGTTGAAGCATCAATACATTGTTACAACTATTACTGTATGGTATAAGTGAAGATGTAGACGTGAGTATGTGCCTCTACCTTCAATTGACATCTTTCATTCCTGAAATAAAAAGATAAAACTAATTGATTTTGATTGTAGAAAAGTTGATTTTGTGCAACTAGAAGAGAAACAATAAACCAGTACAGAAGATTCTAAAATATAATGGAAACATACAGTTGCCATAAGGATCATACATGCGCGCTTCCGGATCCCTTTTCATGCCAGGGTATTCACTAGCCAAAGGTGGAGGGCCTTGATCAGATGGTCGTGTGCCTGTGTATTGTGACGTATAGGATGCGGTGCCTCCGCCAACCTAAAAATGGAACCTTTTTTTTTTGTTAAAATCCTATAGAAAGCGCCAAATCCATTTAGTTTACCTGGGAGTAGCCTGGATATGCTCCTGAGCCAACACCCCCTCCGGGGTAAGATGTGCCGTAATCCGGTCGTGCCCCTGTCCCAATTACACCTTGCTGTGTGCCACCACCATATGAATTATTCGCGCCTGACCCTATCCCTGAGCCAACACCTCCTCCAGGATAAGTTGTATTATAATCTCGTGCGCCTGACCCAGCTCCTTGTCCTATACCACCGGGGTAAGGTGGATTGATTTGTGTGCCTGATCCAATTCCTCCTGATTTGGTACGACTATCTGGGTAAGACGGGTTGTTTGGCATATGTGTATTCAAGCCAAAATCCCCCTGTCCCTAAAAAAACATTAGGATATTTGTGGACATGTTAACAGTGCAAAGTGCTAAATCTTTACCGAGGGGTATTCAGGTCGCACTCCAGTTCCGATTTCCTAAATGACATTACTATTCTTGTCAG